CATGTCTAATCACCAGGAACAACTATTTCCATTGCAGAGACAACCTTTCTTTAGAGGCTATGCCTCTGCACGAATATGTAAAACAGTTTAAAATGTCCACAGGTGACAATCCCAACACAATTAAAAATATAATATTTGTTTGTAGAAATGGGCTGGCAGAATTACATTTTAATAAAATATAAAATTCATCTGGATACGAGTCCAAGTTTACTTGCCATGTCTAATCACCAGGAACAACTATTTCCTGTGGACATTTTAAACTGTTTTACATATTCGTGCAGAGGCATAGCCTCTAAAGAAAGGTTGTCTCTGCAATGGAAATAGTTGTTCCTGGTGATTAAACATGGCAAGTAAACTTGGACTCGTATCCAGATGAATTTTATATTTTATTAAAATGTAATTCTGCCAGCCCATTTCTACAAACAATTAACACTAATCTTAAAGTTAAATTTGATATTATTGGCAAATTCAAACTTAGATTATAACCAGCAAAATTTCCTGAATGTTAATTTTTAAGATATGTCATCTTGTCAGCTTCACTTAAGACTACACAGCATAAAATATTAAATATTTGAATAAAAGAAATAAAACAAATAAATTATTCATTTTATGAATATAACTTTGTTTAACTTATTAGAAAACATTTAGTAAATTAATACTTATGTGAAATCTGTGAATTTAATGCAGTCGTCAGAAAAAAAGAAATGTAAACAACTCCGATAGAAAACACTCTTGGTGAGAATTAGATTGGAGGTCACCATTTGTTATAACAACATGGGAAAGTTGACGCACAGGTGTCAAGAATGCACACTTAAGGTCAACATATAATGATTATGTGACTCTTTTCCCATGACAAGCGAATAAAAGCTCAAGCCCCTGGAAGCTGTGATTTTGTCATAGGAAGTTATATTTGGTGATAGTGCCACCGCAACCTCCATACAGTGGATCCGATCCAGCTACAGGAAGAAAACACCAGTTAGAAGATACTGAGGACTCCTACCTCTTCCATACAGACAACACACCAATTCTCCATCTGCCGAGAAGTATTTAGGGGATTTAGAATTTACAGTAAAAGAGCTCTCTCTCTCTCGAACTAGAAATTAGGTCAGCGAAATAGTTACGAGATTAGTTGCCCTGTTGTTTAAATATTATAGCATAACTGCATTTAACCTTAATGTTATTATCGCCTCATGTAACTTAGATTTAGTTATTCAATAAATGTTTTGTTTATTTGTTAAACCTGTCTCCTGTTGTTGAAAGGACACCTACAGGCTTACTGATGCACTCCCCATACTTTTTGCCCTCCTAGCCATCCAACAACTCCAAGACCGAGTTTTACCAGCCCATGCAGATTAAGTGGTCAGGAGGGATTAACCTGACCCCCCGCTTTTCTCACACATTTCTCAAATTTAGTATTGATAAAGATTTATTTAAAATTTACTTTTTAAATCCTTTCCAGATTTCTATAAAATCAAAAAAATGTATTATTGTTCATAATGATACCTGATAACATTTGTAATATCTAGTCAACAACAATGTTCATCATCACTAGAATTTGACAACCAAAAATTTTTTATTTTGGAAAAGTAATAGTGTCAACTTTAGATTTCAACTAAGTTATTTTTGGCCTACAGGTTTTCAGAAATATTAAATCAAGAAGTAAATGGCACCTTTCACACTTTTGTTTTACTAAAAAATTTGGTGCTGAAAATGTTTTAAGTTTTAAAAACAAACCTTGAAAACCAGAAACAAAAAAAAGTTTCAGTTTTTGAGAAAATGAATAAATTTTATTTAATAAAACAACAATGTTATAAAATATAAAAATACCTGTATGTCCTTGAAGTCTTTGTACAACTTCTTTTGTCTGAAGATTCCAAATGTATACCATATTGTCCTCTGAACCAGAAACAATCCACTAAAAATATTTAAAAACTAACATTAATGCCAAATACGAAATATCAGATTTTTAAAACAATGATTAAATTTAACATTTAAAATTAATTTCAGATGACGATAAATAGTATGCAAATTAAAAAATATAATAGAACACATTAAACAAATGACAATTTTAAGCCATTCTCATTTCATGGTCTATATCAATACAAAAATTTAAAAAAACTTAGAAACCAACCAATTAATCAGATAAAATTTAGTATCAAAACGCACCCAATTACTAATTCAACAAACTGTTGATTATTTGGCATTCTCCAATCACATGTTTAATTGTTTCAATCAGTTATTGAAATATTTAAAAACTGTTGTTTTCATTACAAGCATTGTAAGTATGAAATTCCTCACTCTTGATAAATCAAGTGCTTTAAATTTTTAAGCTTTTTTAAAAAACTGATGGGGACAAGTAAGTTTTTATATTTATTAAAAAAAATCTTTCATGACAGTTCTTGTCCTGCCATGAAAATTAAAGTATTTAATAAATTGACAATACAATTCATACCTTTCCTCCTGTAACAGAAAAATTTGCAAATATACAATACTTCTCATTCTTATGTCCAGTATAAGTTTTCAAACACTACAAAAGCAAAAAAAAATTGTAAACATAATAATGCCTTTGAAACAGATATTTAATTATTATTAAAAATGAAGATTCTACATTAAATATTTTTAAAATTTTTGTAACTAATCAAATGAATTACTATCAGATATATATTTAAATTTTTAATATGATGGTGTAATTTTTATACAACACAATGTATGTTCAAGAGAGGGAGGGGGAACTTTCAATATGAGTAAAAAAAAATTTTTTAGAAAGGAAAATATTAACCAACTATTTTAAATATATTTAAATAATTGAAATTTTAAATTACAAAGTATTGACTAAAATAACTAATAGAATAAGAAAGATAAGGTTTACTTGGTTAATTTTAAGTATTATTCCAACAGTACTGTAAAAATAACAACTGAGCTAGCCATTGTTCGTGATTATTTTACATACTGAATTTTTCTAAGTTGGTAATAGACTATTAAATAACTCCACTAAAACCTTTAAACTAGAACAGCAAAAATAATTTAATTTAAATATGTTATGACAAACATTTTCGATCCACTTAGGATCTGCATCAGATCATTATAACTAGAATGCTAAAACGTTCAAATTTAAATATTTTCAAATACATTGTAAGAGCCGGGATCAAAAACATTTGTCGTGACCTATTTAAATTAAATTATTTTTGCTGATATAGTTTAAAGGTTTTAGTGAAATTATTGAATTATTTTACATACATAGTCATATCCAGAACTACTACTTATCACAAAATAAACATATGATTAATGAGTCAGTCATTTTTTTTTAACAGTATCTACACAAATTTTACATTATGGCATTTTTTAAGATGCTAGAACATATCACAGCTCTTTATAAGCAGCCAGGACAGAATCTCTCATTATAGCTGTTTCTGTAAAACCAAAATGCATTCTAGTAATTTTTCCCCATTCATTGATTGTTTTTGATCTTTGTGCCTAACATACATAAAGCATGCATCTAAAACAGAAAATTCACACATTATAATCAAATTTTGAAAAATCCTTATGATTAAAACCTTATAGCATTTTAGACACAGTAGAATATCAATCATCCATCCAGCTGTAATTATCTGGCCAGGTGAGCCATAACAACTTTTTTTATATAAACAAAGTACAGGATTATTTTTATAATTACTTTGCACTTTTTATTACAGTACAGTACTGTTAAATAATAAATAATATTGTTGTGTAAAAATGTGACCACAAATATTTTCATAAAACTTATGGTTATTCCATTGATAATGTGTCATGGTAATTGCAGGCATCTTGCTGGATTACTTTTGCTGAAAATTTTATATTAAAACAATTTTTATGGTACGTGTAATACAGCTGAAAAGTAAAATTGCATATGGAATGCACTGATGTGCTTGACCATATAGAAAATGTCATATCTTTAATCTTAGATGGCTGGATGAAAGAAAAACCAGATAACAATCTGCCACATTAAGTCAGATAATCACAAGTCAATTTCTACATTTTACATGATACAGTAATGACTGAGTTTATAACTAAGATTTTTGCTGAGTCACAGATTTTGAATTTTGTATAAATTTACAGAAGTTAAGCTATAGCATGGCAGTTAATTTTCATAAGAAAACGACTTGTTGTACTACTGGTCATTAAAAACCAAAATCAGAAATTCAACTATAACACACAAATACAAGAATGTATGAGGGAGACCCAAAAAAACCCGGAATTCTCTTCTGAATGGTGGGCTTCTTGTAGTACAAGTTTCCATGCTAGGTGAGTGTTCAATAAACCCATCTGCATAAGTTTACCAGATGGTATTGTTGAAGCTACGTTTTGCAACAGAACAACTTATTCAATGCTCTTTCCTGTTTCTTTGATGTGAGAAACCGCATTCAAAATTTGTTCCTCCAGGAACAATTATTAACCAGAGTTTTACCTGAAAGTTTTGAGTAGGTTGCATGATTTTGAAAGAAACGTCCCGAGTTGTGACAAACAGGTGACTACATTTTGCACCACAACAATGCTCCTGCCCATACCAAGCTAAGTGTTCATCAAATTTTGGCCAAAAACAGAAAGACCCTGTATTTCATATGGGGGAAAGATCAATATAGAGGATGAACTAGTTTTTCTTTCCTCAGATGAAAAAAAGTCAAAGAGGAAAGATTTTCTATTGTGGAAGAAGTGAAAACTAAAGTAGCACCAAAAAAAAAAAAAAAAAGCATCAAGACTGATGAATTCAAAACCTGTTTTGAGAAGTAGAAAAAGTGTCTTGATAAGTGCATTACATCAGAGTACTTTAATGATGACTAAAGTTTAAACAGTTATTTATAAAAAATTGTATTTATTCTTAACCCTCATATATATTTATTTTAAAAGTTCTCTGTAAATAAAAGCAAACTTCAATTTCACTTTACAAAATTAATTTCACTAATTGTTAAAATCTAGTTGAACTTATAATGGTTGTTAAAATAATATAAATGCCAAAACATAAATCAATACTTACTTTGCCTTTGCTGTAATCCCAAAGTTTCAAAGTACTGAAAAGTTAATCATTTTTCTAAATTTACATAATCTTCATATAATAAATATATTAATTTTATAAACTAACTATTCCATAATTTTATGAACTTTATTGAATTTATTTTTCCAATTATTTACACAGTTTCTTATTACATTATATTATAATTATAATTAAATTAGTTTACAGTACTTTCTTATCATTAAGGAAGCAAGATTATGTATATAGTCTTATATCACAAGATTAAATTATTATTTATAATCACATAGTAGTAAATAAAAATTGAAGAATCTAAATGTTTTGAAAAACGCATAAAAGTGATCTTAAAACTTTAAAAATTTGTGTATCATTCTGATAACTTTCAATATTAAAATGTGTTTACTACTGCAGTAGAATCATTCTTGTATTGAACTGTGATTTAATCATCTATATATATAAAAATGAATGTATGTCTGTCTGTGTGTCTGTCTTATGTCCTTCATGCATTACCACACCGTTTATCCGATTGCCGTGAAACTTTGGGAAGTTGTTTAATATACTCCGGTGAAGGTTTGTGGAATAGTACGATTGCCATAAAACTTCGGAAAGTTTTTTAATACACTCCCGCAAAGGTTTTTGGCATAGTACATTTATCCTACGATAGATGGCGCGCGTTTACACAAGCATTCGAGCACAGTGTGTTCGATTAATTTCAAATTGTGAAGACCATTTCCCCCTTCAAAAAATATCTCTATATATGCATTTGTGAACTGTTTTTTACTATATTTATAATAATGTTTGTTTAATCACTTTATTTCAACTTTTTTTTGCTAATTACGTATTCGCTCGAACTTTGTTAAAACTTTAACCGTATACCGAACAACAACCGAAGTTGTAGAAGGAAATTCGCCTATTTTACCGATCTAGGGATCCCCTTTTCCAAATTTTAATATCATCTAATAATTTAAAAAGACAAATTACAATAAAACGGTTTATTATCCAACTATCAGAAATTTCACAACATGCCAAGGAAGAGAGGAAGGAGCAATTAAATAATTAAAATTATAAAGGATTTAAAAATATATATAAAAATGGGGAATATCGCACTTCTGACAATCGCAGCGAGTGTGTGGGCTAAATTTGGAGAATCCGTGCTTCTCGCGTGGACAACTGTATGTGGCCAGCTCACACGTCGAAAAACCTTCCGATTTATTCGTGTACGCACCAGACGGAAAAACAAAAACTTTCGTGTATCCACAAACACTCCAATAAATAAATAGAATTGAAACGACACTTTGAAATGTTTTCCCGATGAAAATGAATAATAATAATAATTTTCAATAAAAATAATAAAATGTAAATTGAATTTTATCATAACGAGTTTTCTTGAATTTCCTTTCTTCTGAGATCGCAGCAATGCGCGACAGGTAAGCTAGTTTTAATATAAATAATTTTTATTATAATATCAACAAACTTAAAAATTACTTTTTGTATACTGTAGTTAATATTTTATATAATTTTATTACTTTGGAATGGAAGCAAAATTTAGCAATAAATACTTTGGTCTTATGATTAGTTGAACAATATTATAAAGTGATCAAATCATGAAACAAAATAGTGGGATGTCAGGCTGGTGACCTGGACATGTCAGACAAGTCATGTGATCAACTCCTGTATTAGTCAACACTACAATTAGCCATAAGTAATTGGCTAATTGTGCCCTACACAATGTGGAAAGTTCTGTATTAAAAAATTTTGCATTTTTATCATCCTAAAATCAAGAATATTTCTGGTGATAAATGGAAAACTTTGCTATAAAATTCATAGCTCAAATGATAATGATACCTAACTCTGAAAAATTCTGTGGGGCAAATGAGGTTCATTTTCATTTGCGTGGTGATGTGACCACTCAACTTCTGTATTTGGTCTGACAAAAATCCACACATCAACAAATTCCATAGCACTCAAAAGGAAACAGATATGGTGTAGTTTCACAAATCATTTATCACTGGTCCTTATTTTTTGATGAAAAATTCGCATCTGAGCCAGTAACATGTTCGGCTGATGCCACTAGATACAAAACCATACTCTAAAGCTGTCATTCCAACATTACTGTAGAGAAACTGTCTAAATACCTAATCTTTACAATGGTGGGCCCCACATATTGGCTTAAACATCCAAGCCATACTGCAACATTTTTCACAAAGTGATTAGCTGATTATTTCCAATGTCATGATAACTACAATCACTAGATCTGAACCAATGACTTTTGGTTATGGCAAGGTAATGTTCCTAATCTACTGTAGCTGTCCTAAAAAGAATTTCAAAACATGCAACAAGTCCAAGTAGTTCAGTTGCATTCCACCATCAAATGTTGTGTGCAGCAAATGACATTTTGAGCATGAAAATGGAGAGAACAGCCATATCATTGATATAATATAATTGCCAATTCCACATTTCATATCTACAGCTGAAGTAAAATTATTGCATTTTGTTTTTAAATCCAGAAATTCATTAGAAAGCATATGTAATATGTAATAAGCACATTAAAAAAGGGACAGTAGTGCCAAATTTTGTCTTATCAGCTAAATTTTGAAGTAAAATTCTTTCCTGAAAATTGAAAATGATTGCATTTGATTAAGTTTGCCCAATAGTTCTTTCTATAGACTCTGAACACCTACTCTTTCATTATGGTGACTTTATATTGTAAGGAACCAAGTCCGAGCGTTATTTTTATTTACTTTTATTTTGCTTTTATTGTATGTTTGTTTGGGGGCTTATGTTTAGTTAGGACGAAGGTTTCCTCACCCGTCACCTTAGAAAGTTATAAAGAGAAGATAAAACCAACTCACCAACGAAAAAAGAAAGCGCCATAGCTCACACTCGCATGCTCGCCCGAGCGGCAGATAGTAAGTCCGCACTGAAGGGGGGAAGACCCCACAGACTTTTAGGAACTTGTTAAACCTTAAAGGAAACATCCCGATAATTGTTCAACAAAAGACTGTAAAAGGTTAACAAAGTATTGTCGGGAATTAAGCTACCAGATAAACAAGAAAAAAGTGAATGTTACGTGTAAGTATGTAAATGAGGGGAGTGTCTCACTTAGAAACTGTGACGTCACCTCAGACTATAAATAGCATAGCTCAAGTGAAGACGGCAGAGGTGAGCTCCTGAAAAGAATAAGCATTGATATGCTAGTAGCAGTGAACAAGGTGTCCAATAGGAAATAGTCCAAGGCGATTGCAGGATTCGATTTGTGGATCGAGGAATAGGAAAAGTCTTGAGTTGAGAAAAAGGTTCCTAGTATAATTGAGGTGACGGTTAGGATTTGTAGTTATAAGAAATTCTGCACCTAGGTTAAGGATTGATTTTTGTCGCAATTCCAAGGGGAATAGTTCTAAGTTAGAATAAGATTGAGTTTTGTCGGGTTGACTTTGGATTTGATTTTATTGAATAAATTTGTTGTTTGTTGTACATCTTGTAAATAGTATTTCTAGATCTTTATTAAATATTTTTTGATTTTTTACTAACTTGTCCTTAATTTACTTTGGTGCACGCGAAAAGTCCAGGCCTGGCAAACTAACAAATGCGAACCCGCGTAAAGTACCTGTTAGGTACTGGCTCTTTCCGGAACAAAAATCGTTGTAGAGAGATAAGTTAAAAATCGTACTTTACAATATAATGACTATTTGCAATCCAATTTAAAAATCATGAAACAAAGCAAATCCACAAACTTTGCCAAATTATTTAATTTCAGGAGATAAAAATGTAAAAAATCATACAGTAGATCCCCCTATAAAACCGTTTCCTATAGTTATGATTCCTATAAAAATTGTGGCAGTACAGTAGATCCCCCTATAAAACCGTTTCCTATAGTTATGATTCCTATAAAAATTGTGGCAGTATCCGTAAACAACGGTAAAAATAACTCCTATAATACGTAAAACGTCATCGGGCAGCCGAACTACTTTCCTGCCGTCCGTAGCGCCACGCTACGGACGTTTAGCTATCGT